CTCAGTGATGCTACCGTCGCGTCAGTCGATAAGATGACACTGCTCTTTGTAAATCGTTATTTAGAATCTTTTTTTTCTCAACTTTTTGATATCTACCGACGAGCCGACTTTTGTTTTAAATCACATCAATTTAAACGATCCTTTTAATTTATGGTTTAAAAAAAACGCTCCTCCATTGTTAATAGGTTCAAATTATATCGGTTATAGATTTTTTTATCTATGGTAACATTATTTTTATTTATTACTTCGAATATTTATGGAAATGTTCATAATGTATGAAGTACATATGCATTCTATGTTTAAATCGTGTTTCATGCTTACCATATAAAAATTGCATATAAATTTCGCATGCATGCAACGTCGCAGTAGTACGCTCCATATAAAATTACACTTTAATGTTATGTTTATAACATAGATTGTGGTTTATACCTAGTTCTGCTTCACTAGTTCCTTGATTTGAAGAAAAAAAATCGTTTACTATAATATTGTTATTGTCATAATTATACAAAAAATTGCTTACTGCTTTATCATTAATAGTTATTATATAAAACTATTTTAGAAAAACCAACAATTCTTACTTCATCGCCTCCATACAAATACACCCCGCTGGTACAATCCAAGTTTTTTAAAGTTGCCATAAATAATAAATTGAATTTAATAACTGGTAACCTTATAGTAAAAATACATTTTATTAGTAATAATGATACATTTAAAAACACATAAAAATGTGCGCATATGAAGAAAGGATTTTTATTTATTAATTACAAAAGTACTTCGGTAGCTGTATTTATATCTTTATGGTCGATCTCATATTATACATATACCATGGAATTAAGATTACTAGATGGGAAATACAAAAATATAATCTAAATTCTTACATTTGCTAATATTTTCCCCTTTGTTTGTTCGTATAGCCAAAACAATGTTAGCTTCAAATATTTGCTAACTCCAAAACGCGTGAATGGAACTACATGTATATAAAAATATAGTTGAAAATTCATAAAAAAACTATAAGTTTTAAACGTAATTTTCGCTGTATATGTATATTTTGGGTATGTCAATCTCAATGATTATTTAAAGAGATCCAAATCATAAACACCCACGTCCTAATTCCTCTAACGGCCCACACGAACGAGTTTTGTTTTTCCATATTGTAACATTACATCGGTGTTGCCAGTACGAGCCGATGACAACTATAACAACTTAAGTTTCATAAATAGGACCTCATTGCTTATCGTAACAATTATTATTTTTTTATATTCATATAAATTTAATGAGGTTATTGCAATTTTATTGTTTATACTTTTTTTACAATACTCGCTTGTTATACGAGTTACAGTAACTGTCATAATAATATTATAATCTACATTTTTCAAGTGTCAAATAAGTCGTTCAGGCGATTTAAAATATTAGTAGAAATCAACCGCTATTATATTTTTGAATGATCAGTATTAATGAGTTAATTTGATTATGAGAATTAAATATCAAAAAAAAGTACAAAAAATTAAAGGTGACATTGTTGTCTTGTCACATACGTGTAGATACAAATTGTAATAAAATAACATATTTATTATATTAAATCACACACACAGACAGTTTCATTAACTTGTATGGATGTATTAAGAAATAAATTATTACACGATAAACACGTTTTAAAACGTGTAATTTTTTGCCGCCCGAGAGTTCCAATATGTCATTTACATCTGCCAACACACACAGACAGAGCGGGACACGCACACATACACAGATACACACACACACATACACAGTCTGAACGCACACATGCTAACATACAACGTAAGCAACACTTCCAACAATTAATTACTGAACCTAATGAACCGTTACCTCATAAATGTTTTATGAACACCTTGTACGTTTTTATTAGAATTTTGCAAACAGTAGCTCGGTCTACAGGGTGTTAGGGATACTATAGTGTCTAGATCTAGATATAGCCGTCTGATTCTAGTGAAAGACGAGCTGAGCCGATGACGCCCAGTCCTACATTATTATAACGGCTGGAGCTAACCGATGATTAAATTCCGGTTTAACGTATTGTTGATTGTGGAGTTAGGGAAACATAAGACAACATCGATTTGACTTGATTATTCTATTTTGCTAACACGTTAAACGCATCATGAGTGATTATAAATTACTTCAAAACGAATAGAATTATAAATAGTCGATCAATTTAATTGTTATACAATTTAAGTTAACTCACAGATAGTACGAATCGTAGAACAATAATTAAAATTAAATCCGGCGCCGCGGTGAGGCCAGGCCATGCTCGTTGGAAGCCACAAGAATGCGTCAACGTGTGAGCAGATGCACCCCCCACCCCTTCCTTTACAGCGAATTTACACGATGACCCCCCAATTACAACAGTTAATTGACAAGGGGGATGCTACAAACATTACACAAGAAAATATAGTTTCATAAAAAATATATAGGTTTATAAAAATATAACAATCGATACACAGTAAAACGGACCGTATAACGTCAGAAAAAAAGACTAGAATAGCTTGTAGTGATTTCGCCGTCTGTCATTTAGGGGTTGAGGTATGTGCGTTAATTAGGATAATGTTCCCGCTCAGTAGGACATACACTACTACGCATCTGTGGCATTTCGCACGTTGCCTGCATTGAGATTAAAACGTGATTTTTTTAATATTAAAAAAAAATATAAATATGCACAGAATAACTAAAGTTTTTTTAAAAAACAATTTTGACATTAAGAAGTAATTAAAAAAAAACCTGTCAACTGTCAAAGTCATTTGATTAAGAAGCTTCACACGTCCAAATATGTTTTTTTTCTAATTAAGACTCTATCTAAATTAAACCAGTTTCGACATACGCGGCTGTATATAACGAAATTAATTTGAAATGTTCAAAATTTATTTTATCATCACCATTAAGGGCGTTCATAATGTTATTAGGTTTACGAAACTCATGCATTCTTAACACGAGCAATCCATTAATATATTTATAGACATGTAGATATTTATATGTGGTTATAAACAATCGGTGAGAGCCAATATAGCATTCGAACCATTGAAGCAGCAATCCCCATCACTTGTGAGCTTAATATCCGTTATTCATAATTAGCTCTACGCGGGCCCTGGACTGATTCAACCGTACATATATAACTTGACGAACAACCAGACAAAATGATAATCTACTATTAAAAATTATTTTAATAATAATAGCATAATAATGTTTTTATAATTAAAAAATGTTTAAGAGATCTCCGCGGATCTTCGAAGCATGACAAAGTACAGGCATTGCGTCACCTTATAAGAGTCCTACACTTAGCAAGTCTATTGTACGCTAGGCCAACTCAGCTATTTTCTATGACAATCTTAAAACGAGTCCTACACCACTATAATAGAGTTGATAACAGCTTGTCGGCTGTTGAAATAGAATTAGGACCTAGGTCAACAAATGCGTACATTATTCAACTTTTCCTAGCCATTTTGATGCTTTACAAACGACACGCGAGGTGTGATTTAATAAAGTATTTCACTTAGCATTTTATTCACTGTCGGATAAGAAACCTTTTTTTATTCTACCTTTTTTTTCCATCAACTCAATAGAATCTCAATTTATCCGGAATCTAATTAAGTTAATTCATATTGATATATCACAGCGTTCTGAATTTGAATTTTAATTTGAAATAGCTTATCACGGCTGTTTAAAATAATTACGCTGATAACGATATCAATAAAATGAATAATCTGAATAATTTATTTGTATTCGAATTAGATACGTCTTTTTTTATTGTAATTATATATAATATGTTATTGAAATTACGATCCTAATGTAATAGGAAAACAAAAGGATATCAAATTTTTCGTCTTCGTATTCGATACAAAATAGTTCTCATAACTTATGCTATAAAATATATTTTACGTAACTAAGCATTATAATACACTCAAATACAACTTGAATCCGACGCCTGACATGCACAAACAGCGGCCAACATATAAAGAGCCTTGGTTGACATTGCGGTATAACGAAATCAGATATCTTGTAAAACTTGACACTGCCGCGACCAATGTAAAGAGCTCCCCGTCACCTACCAATGTTACACGGACAGAGCGTTTTCTATGAAGGCTTCAACACGTCGCAGCTCAACTATAAGTGGTCGCGTGAAACGTTTAATGTATTGGATTACTTAGCGACGACACTGTGCGGTTTCAGGTAGTTTGTTTTTAGCTTCTGTATTATGCAATGGTTCCTTACATGTTAATATTGATTGAAAAAATACAGTTTCTATCATGTAAAGTAATAAAAAATTTATAATAATTTCGATTCTATATTAAAACATTAATAAACGAGTAACTATATTGTCAATATTTATTACAGATAATGTATACTATACATACTATAAATACGATTATACGATCGGTGATAATTCTCTTATATCCATACACAGGGCATACATGACGCAAGATTCTTGCTAAAACGTTGTATAGTCTTAGGCATAGGTTTATCTAGGTCCGTATTGTGTACTAGTCGATCTCGACGAGCATAAGTCACAAGGCGGATTTAGTAGTAAAATGTGCCTAGCACTTGTTATTCCGCGCGAACCTCTCCACGGCACGACATCAATCAGGCTGTCAGCAATCACTCCTTGCTTCACGTAAAGGAAATAAATCAGTGCCTAATGAGCGGTAAAACGTTCACACTGACCACTCAGATAATATCTTTTACTAGAAAAACCGTTACAAAGTTGGCACGATCCGAGAGTGGGCGAGGATCTATTACATTTATATTACACGACAGTGATGCTTGATGGATACCAAATATATGTATCCGACTAAGAAGTAATCAGTTGTAAACATAGAATTCACACAAAATATTTATGTACCTATATATATGTGATCACAACTGATTGCTCATTAGTCTTAAAAAACCGTTTTTTAGATACATGGTATCATAGAGACGTGTTTAGTTTGGAAATCGATGTAACTGTGTAAGCAAAGGAGCCTTCGAATTTGCAGACAAATGTTTCCCCAAATGAAGTTCCGCGTATCTGGATTGGATGCTAAAGCGAAATATATTCTACTCCTGGACATCGTAGCCGCTGACGACTACCGATATAAATTTCACAACAGGTAGACTTGACGCCGGTCCATCAGTACGCATCCCATTAAACAACCGAGAGTTTGGTATAACGTACCAACCAGATGGTTCATACCAAACTGCTGGTTCACGGCTCATATAACTGTCACTGAACCTGACCGCACGTTGATTGGAGAAAGCTAACGCTACACGCTTCTACGTAGAGCTTGTGATCTTCACCACATTGCACTAGTTCCCACCAATTTGGTAACAAAACTGTTAATTGCCTTTTAACAATTACTGCCATCAATTTAAGGGCAACGACATCACGAAAGTGAACGCCTGGAATTGTCCAACGATTAAGGATTCAACGCGCATCCAATGGGTAATATCATTAAAATATCTCTGTCTTAAACGCCGCTGCGGTGAAGTAAAAAGCGCTCCGTGCGATATAGAAGGCGAGAAATAGAGACTGTACAGTTTATTGAGATTATATTAAACATTATTTGTGGTTACACTCGCTCCGACATATCTGAGGCGTCACTCAAATCAATAGTCATCGTATTTGATCGTGTTCACTGTTTAATTTCTGATGACAAGATAAGTTGTTCGTTTTATGTCCGACCGGCGAGGGACAATCGGGCCTCAAAACCGCCGACGCCAAGGTTTGCCAACACCGAGATGCGACCGATAAACTTCAGTTTAATATCCGTTAATTAATACGACTCGACCATTCTGATCGAAAATTCGACTGTGACTCAGCCGCCGTCCGACAAAGAGATCATCCATCTAGAGATGTTAATATTATAATTAATTAATTATTACAAATTGTTCTCGTATATATTACCTACATCGGAATTATCTTTCGGTTCAGTTGTTTATAAAATTTTAATAAGATTTTGTTGGTGTTCTCGGAGTTTAGATCCTTACTTGTAAGTCACATAAATTCACGTGCCACGGTCACGTTTCGCGACGGCAAACCACACAATGGACGCATCTTACCGTTTTTGGTTAGTTTGGCGGACACACTTTTTGACTAAATACTTTGTAACACCTTACTAAGGTTTCCGACGTTGATTAGTCCGCAATCGAATTCTCGGTATAAAAGAGTGCAAAAAAAAGCCGTATAAAGTTTATCGAATTGAACATTTTTTATTTATATACATAACGAAAACAGAATTAGCAAAATTTCGACGTGAACATGACTAATGAGTGAGATCACAAGCTAAAGTGCAATTCGCTAAGAACGAATAAAAAACATAAACTAGTATATCGGCATGTCTCACAATCGACGTTATGTCAAATCGTTGACGCTAAAAACGAGTCCCAATCCATGTTTTTCTCTCGTATTGCTTGCAGACGTATGTTTCCTGCCTACAAAGTTCGCGTTTCTGGTCTTGATAAAAAAGCAAAATACATTTTGCTAATGGACATCGTAGCTGCCGACGATTGCAGATACAAATTCCACAACAGGTATAAATCAAATGATGGAGAATTAAATTAAAATAAGAGTTTTTAATCGGGGAAATTCACTTTAGACCCAGGGTTTGAACTTATTTTAATGTAATTAGTTTAAAGAACTGTGAGGCAAGAAGCATGCGTGCTAATGTGAATATGATAGGGTGCTGCGTGGCGTTCCGTATTGACTTATTACATATTAGATGAGACATCTGACAGTGTCCTCCATACTGATAATGAACCGGATATTCTATAAGAACAATGTCGTTTGTGAACTTGGACCGATCTCATTTCAAATCTTATCACGTATCGTTGGCCCATTTTTGAACCGTCGTTTCGGTGACGCTGATTTATCTTTCATTGCCAATTTCTGTTCCGCTCTACGCAGACCTCGTTTATTCACATTGCTTTTGTAATCTATAGATTGCTTCTCTAAAACCATTTCATAACCCATCCTATGCATGTGCCTGTTTATATAATTAATCACCTAAATTTAATGCCTAACAATGCATGCACTTCGTTTTTCACGACGACACTTTTTTTTTAATTAAATAAATAATTTCATGCTTTACCAAGTTTCTGACTTTTAAAATATTATATTGTTTGTAACGTCATAACCTTTATAATTTATGCGGCCACCTGCCTTGGAGCTTGGTTCATTTTAATTAAAAAATAATTTCACTTTCATTAGTAGTTAATTAGTTTTAGGCAATCGATGAGGCTTGATAAAAATGTCCGCCATTTTGGAGAATATATGTGTATGTTTGTTTCCGGAGTCGGTGGATGGTAGCCGGCAAGGCTGACCCCGAGATGCCCAAGAGGATGTACATCCATCCCGACTCACCGTCCACAGGCGAGCAATGGATGCAGAAGGTCGTCTCCTTCCACAAGCTGAAGCTTACTAACAACATCAGCGACAAACACGGATTCGTGAGTACCAGCTTCTTTAGATACTACGGAGTCAATGGATTTAACCCCTACGATGAAAATCAAACAAAAAAATAATAGAACTACTCTTATAACATATTAAAAATTATATAAAAAAATCCCTCGACTCCGTCTGCCCGTGTATGCTCATGTATTCATCATTGTATCGCTTCCATCATATCTATTTATAATCATCTCGTACACAAAGTCAGTAAATTACCCGTGTCAATACACGAAACTTACCCAATACAAACCCCAAATTTTTATAGCAGCAAAAAGTTTTAATTCTAGTGATATTATAATTAAAAAAGGTCGGGCTGGATCTGTCATCGGGCTGCGGGGGGCCATTGTGTCCGTCATGGCTATTAGGATATTTACTCTGTGCCTCTATAGATTATCTATGCACCCGTCTGTACCGCATTAATGTTACAAGGAACAACAATAACGCATTGTAGTGCCCTTGTTATTTATGAACTATATTAAAATTTAAAGGCATACCACAAAATACGTTCTATATATTAAAATGCGTACATAATTTTGTAATCTGTATCACATAGTTACCTAGTTAATTAATTAAAATACTTAATTACTAACATTAAACATTTATAAGTGAATTAATGTTTGAACAAAACTGTTTCACCTGTCCTAAGTCGTATTTGCTAATATTGATAAATCGGAACCTTCGAAATTAGAAAATACGTCATTGAATTTTGAATTCTATTTATTTGTTAATTAAAATCGCTTTCCCTTATAGCATGTCACCCGTTTAGACATCTTTAAATGCATACTCTGGCTCAGATGTTAAATAAGATTAAGTATTACGAATTTCTTAGTTATAAAATGTTCTACAAGTTAATGAATAATTTGGTACAGAATTCAACAAGGTGATCATTAAGATTTTTATCTATATATCTATCTTGTTAAGGGAAGTCTGATAGTGACACAATGGCTCATTACGACAATATTAAATTATAGCACAGTTCATAATATAGATTTACGAACTATATTATATCATTACATGGGATTTATTAATCGAAAAGCCGATTACAGTTTAATATCATTGTATACGGCAACATTTTAAACTAATCCATATAATATATAAATATTAGAATATTATTGTACTTACGGGTTTAAAAACAATCAAATTATATGTCTGAATGATTCCCAAGTCACCCTGTTTATCGATTAGCCAGGTCACATCGGTACTCAGCAGATTAAGCAATGCAAGTCAGGCTTAAATTCTCGCCATTCTGCAAAGTGCTACGCCAGTTTATAGATGAATAATTTTTCGATTACCTAGGGGTAACCTGGATGCACTTACCGGACATATTTGGTGAGGGTGAGCAACGTACGCGTCTTACGCTAGTTCGTTAACATTATTAATAGACAAAGGAAAATAATTATTAATATATATAATATATAGATTTACATAATTCGGACATCCTATAGGTTAGCTGAGTTGAAATTTATAAAAAACGCTACCGAAAACAAAACGGACTAACATAATACACTCCGATGCGTTTATGTTGCCGCGATCGAATCATAGATAAAGTTTTTTTTTTTTAAGCTGACGAACGTTTGTTTTTTTTTTTTTGGTTAAGTTTTCGTGTCAGGTCTTTTGTCTTTGACGAGGGGTAATTGAAATAACGACTGAACGCGGAATGCTCAGAATTTCGGAACAGCTGATATAAGAGGCATTTTAAATTAAAATTTATATGTTTGTGTCGCTTGTATGACGTTTGTAATAATAAATCAAATGTACGATATTGTCAACAGAGGTAATATTTTTAATCAAATTTGAATTTTTTAAAGTCAATATACTATTAATTATAATTTTTTTTTACTCGAACCTCAGAGTTTTTTTAAATATGGTAATTAAAAAAAACACAATTTTTGACATAGTAACAGGTACAAGATGACCGTGATAGGCCGACAAACATCGTCCTTTGTCTTTTTCATTTTACATGCCGATATTGGTGTAGCAGTCGATTTTTCATACAGATATTATCAATTATAAAAAAAACCTCTACGTTTAATTTGAATTCTGTATTTATATTGTAACCATGGGTATTTGTGTCATAATATTTTGGTGTTATTAAAGTTTATATTTAAAAATACATGCTTTGTACTTATTTATTAATATGTTTATTGTATCAGATATTTTCTCAATCAATTTTCTTCCGCCATCCAAATACTCTATCGTTTTATAGCAAGGGATTGAAACTTAGGGGAATGGAGTTCACTAATAAGTGAATAAATAAAAATGCTCCATCAAAATTATTGCTATTATTTTATAATTACTAAAAACTCTTTGGTAAAACCTTTCCGTTTTAATGTTATTCGTAATGTGGTGTCATCATATATTTTTTTTTATTTCTTAATACTTAAAAGGTTGAGAAACAAAGAGCCACAAGTTAAAGCCATTCGTGTCAGTGACGCGGCTTCATCAAATCAGGTCCCTAAGTAGATATATTGTCGGCAATCAGGATTATTTACAATACCCTCAGTTTTTATTACAACGCTAAGATATAAATTGGCGTGTCGTCAATTATAATGACATTTTAACTCTTTAACAGTCGCCAAAAGCGTTTATAATTATAGGATTAAAGATGGCGCCTGAACACCTTTTATTGGGCTATTTAATACTCAAGCATTAATTTTAGAGTCGTAACAATAATACCGAGACATCATTTTAATAGTTCTTCTTTGTTTTTAATACACTATCGACTTATTGAATTTACAAGTTTTTTTTTATTAACTACTATGTTTTATGTGTTGCAATGATATTATAAAAATTATTAAAATGTATAGGAAAAAATCATAACTTATTACCAACTTAATAAATATTCCATTCACTTTTAGAAGTTGGTAATGATTTAAAGAAGTTTTCTTTACAATGCTCTGGTAACAATTACCACATAAATACTTATAAATAGAAACGATGACAGGATATGACAATATTGTACCAAGTTCACCTGTATTATATTTTGACTATAAATATATATGTATTCTGTATACACTAATAACGTTTGTGTCTGCGTAACCAAGTGTAATACGCAAACGAAAATCTCTCCAAATAACATGAATCCACATCTACTAAACTTGGCTTCCGTCCAACAGATAGCACAAGAGTTGCTCTCCATCTATACATGGATACGTGTTCCAACTACGTACCGAAACAAGCAACTATATTGTTGTAGTATTTTGTACGTAGCATTCCCAAAAACCCACGAACAAATTAGAGCATATCAACACGAATCAGCAACTTGTGTTACAAAGAGTAATAAAAGCTCACCGTTCCGATCCCCGCTAATCGCGGCTCGTTTTTACAAATCAAAACATCTTGAACATTCACAATGAATCTCTCGCCGGCGGGGGTTATTTCTGAGGCTTGCACGTCATAGATGACGAAAAGGACCGTCTGCCCGTTTTAATTGTGAAGGGCTAATCCGCAGCCGGTGTCTTTCGAGCGTCTAATTCACTTCAAGTAGCTCATTGTGCTCCGGCGGCGTCTTCCCGCCCGTGAATACAGCTGCAACGAACACCCAAAGCCTGAGCATTTAAAAATTCGCAAAAGCGACCCCTAATCGATGTTTACCATTAATAATCTACAAACAACTTTCCCTCACCTTGAAAACAAACAAACGGATTGAATAACTCGGAGGTCTCGAAATGTTTCAGAGTTATGAAATACTTTTGCAACTTTTTAAGCAAACTGCGAACTTTACACCAGTTTGCCGATAGCGGAATACCTACTGGGATATAAAGGCCGGCAAACCGGTGCGCTTGCTTGAACAAGAAAGGGCATATGCTACGTAATTTATATACAGTTATTGATCAAAAGGTGATGTCCTTTGGGAGGCATCGAGGCATCTCAGCGATCGGTCCCTCACAAATTGTTCTCTATTAAACGGGGGCGATAAAATCTTGGTTGTAAGTGGGCGAGGACCGTCTTACCGGTTCGATTGATGATAGGGTTGTAATGGATTAATTATCGAGTGTTGTGGTCGCGGTTATCTGAACAGGGAACTGCCATGGTACCTGAATACACTCCGAGGGGTTCAACTCTTGCGTTCAAGTTAGGTAGCCGCGTCTTTGTTTTTTGCTAACCCTCGCCACCTGCTGAGCTCTGTTATTCCCGACACAAGACCTAAAGAGTTTCATTAAAGGCTAAACATGATGTTATTCAATAAATCCAAAATGACTTATTTAATATTAATCCGCCTACTGTATGATTCAATTTCGGCTAAGATTTTTGGTCTTTTTAGTAATAATCTTTTATCCGACGCTATATTCGTGAGGCTCTAAAGGATTCTTAAGAAAGGATTGTGTCTATAGTTAACAGTTGAGTCGTAAATTTTAATCCTGTTTGGCTCCTTGACTGTTGTAGGTTGAGGTAAGCCATTTTTTACGAAGATTTCAATTGTATGGAGGCGCCGGTTACATGTTAGGCATGTAGTAGCGCCAGATATATCATAATAACAAAAAAGATACCTTATTTTAATTGAAACACCCAAGAAATTTATTTACGTAAAGCATATTTAATATATTAGTATTGTATGTTGTATAAATCTGTTTTGGGAACTGAACACTTGCAATATGAAGATTACTTTCACAAGTAAATGTCTATTGAATTCACATTTAAATTTGAACTGACGATAACAAGCTTAAGCTCCCACGTATATATTTTTTTACTTCTATAAAATTTAAATTCCATTCCATCCTTGCTTGAAGCCGCAAAAAATAGTTATAACTCAGATAAATATAATATTTAACGAATAATATAGATAGATGTGTATAAAAGAAATGGAAATTCATTAACAAGTTGTATGTAAATTCCTGTTAGAGCAACAGAAGTGAGTAACTTATGTACATTATAAAGTGGAAGTTGATTGTATTAATGAATATCTTAATTAATATACATCGTATGGTCTTCATTGGTGATTAACAGCAATTAACTTAACATTTACACAATATCCAGGTCAATAGATACGGTGCGATCT